GCAGCTCTGAACTGTCAGCACTTGACCAACAGTAAAAGACTCGAAGATAGATAGGCAGGTCCTTAAAGTGTCAACGTCTTCTGCCTCTGGTGAGATGGACAATACGAAGAGCCTTAGGAGTGTGGTACATAGGTAATGAGGTGAGTTTGGGAAGATAGTGTGATAAAGCACTTTAGTCTTTGCACGGACAAATCTTTCATAAAGTCTTTGCAATCTCCTGCCCTATGACTAATTTTCCCAGACTGTCATAATTTTCTTTCAATTTTATATCATCTTCAAGTTCCATAGTTAGTCACAGAGGGTGCATTGCCACTGCTTATCTATTGTCTTACCTTTCAAGTTATTTCACCATCCTTTGTGGCCAACTCTGTCTTTTATAATTACCTTTATTTAAGATAAGATGCAAATTTCAAATGAACGATTCTCAAGAACAAATCAAATTTGATATTCTATGATGTTACGTTCACTCTTCTGTCACGGACCGGATACATGCAGCAGATCAGATATGGGAACACCAATTGCAATTTCTCCTCCACGTCACTCACCATCCTGACTTGGAAATGTGTTTCCATTTATTCATTTTCACTGGTTCAAAATCCTGCCACTTGCCTCCCTAACAGTATTGTGGGTTTAACTGCAGCAAATGGACTGCAGCACTTCAAGAAGACTGCTCACCACCACCTTCGCAAAGGATGGGCAATAAATACAGGCCCAGACAGTTATCCCTACATCCCATGAAAGAGGTTGAGGTGAAATTGATTCTTACTGTCATCCTCTCCCATCCTTAACACTTGTTGTTTGTTGAATTTTCTTTCCCTGCGTTTTTTTCCTCTAAAAATAGATGGTTGTGTCCTCCCCATCTCCACCCAAAATGGTTTATGAGTAGTTATGAGGAGAGACATAAATTGGATGGGTAATCAAAGGCTTTTTCCTTGGGTGAAAAGGTCAATTACAAGAGGGCGCAGAATCAAGGCAAGAGGGAGAAGGTTTAAGGGAGAAGTGGGGGAAAAATTTTCCACATGGGGTGGTGTGTGCCTGGAATGCGCTGCCAGTGGAGGTGAGCCTCTTTTGCAGCAAGGTGATGAGATTCCAAAGTGGATATCAATTGGAATTGTCCTCAGTTGCCCTACCGGTGCAAGGATTGCCCAACATCAGCATCACAGCTGGGGTAATTGTGCTTGTGTTGGGGCATGAGGACAGGCTGCTTGCTGGACCATTGTGCCACCCACCTTCAGACCCATCACTGAGGGGACATTAAACCAGTCCCGTAATCTCATACATCTATTTATTCCTCCTTCACTTTCAGTGTCATGCTCTCAGATTGGGAGATCAAATGGATTTTACTTTGTGTGTGCATGTGTGTGGGGTAATAGGTGGGGGAATGAGTGAAACTTCACCGGTATGGATGGGAGGATAGAAACCCAACTGCAAAATGTTATTTCAGGCATTTTTAAAATTGTTATATGATTTTATGAATGAAATTCTAAAGTCTGATTGGCTTAATGTGTTTATTCAGGGTGAGGAGAGCTTCAGGGGAATGATATGGGAGGACAATATGTGATACATCGAACAGCGCAATCTGGAGTACTCAAGGGAGTACACACATATACTGTGGTAATGAACCAGTTTGGAGATCTGGTGTGTACAAGATAATTCATCTGGGATCTATTAGATTCTGGTCATTGTGAAACTGGTTTGATTGGATTGGATTGGATTGGATTGGATTGGATTGGATTGGACTGGA